TGAAATAACAAGTAAAAATAACATTACTCAAACGAAAATGTACAATATGGGAGAGTCATGTATCCCAACGGCCTCTAGTTAGCCGCCCAAAATTTTTTCACATAAATGGCGAAAGCAAGACGTGTTCTCCATATTATGGAACAATTTGCCTATACAATACATCTGGATATTTGAGACACCTTTATTCTGTTCTTGAATCATTTTGAATAACATTTCCAGTGTTCAGTTGAAAATAAGGCCCTTCTGTTGCTGAAGGACATTTAAGCCACAAGTCTGTCCAAGCTATAAAAATATTGTAGAGAAAATAAGATTATGACGCTGTCGTTTTCTCCACATTGAACACACGAGTTATAATGGCCTGTTTTAATGAAGAAGTTTTATTATGGCTTAAAACAAATAACATTGCTATAAAAGCTGCCACTTACCAACGGACTCAATGACAAATGGGCATCTATTCTTTACGAACATATTCCAAGATTGGTAGTATTCCCTTTCATGAATAAAGAATTCCTGTTCCACAAAGAGGTAGTTCGTTGCTTCCAAGTACATCTGGAACAACCTTATCTATAAATAAAATAAAAACTCGTGATATATCTTCATCAGACGAGTTAGAGGAATCCGAAGTAGACGATCTTTACATTTAAAGAAAATGGAACTTTATGCATTGTGCCATCAAACCCGAAAGTTGTTGCTTCAATTTATAAAGTTTACAGTATTAGCCCCGCAGTCTTCAAACCGAAAGTTTCTGTTACGAAGCATTTAAATTCATCACAGTAAGAAGATGTAACTCTCCATCTGATATATATATACACTACCTCAGGCACCTCAACAGAAGAAGAATTCAAGATTTTCTCAAGAACTGCTTTTACCTCCACCAAACTATTATTTAGTAAAAGAATAAACTAAATATACACAGGAAAAAAATAGAAATAAGAGTCAGAGCCAAAAACCGAAATAGAGAGAGATAGAGCTACTCTCCAATTTAATGGGATTTAAAGGGATTTTTTTTAAATGGATTCCATAGGTGGTGACTGATCATTTAACTATTATGTTGTCATCAGGTGATTTTAACAGTTACGCTTTACGTGTCAACTAGTATTAACTGATTGAGCCTCTGTTATTTTATTTGTTTGGTGTTAGACTTATTTTTACAATAAAATAGACTTAGAAAGTGATACATTTATAAAAATTTCGTACGCCATATCAATCCAGATGGTCGGTGCCATCACCTTTTCCAAAAAACTTAGGTACCTACATTCATTGTAAAAGTTAGTAACTTTACTAACAATTCATTCATGGAAGAGCAGGTTATCTTATTGCTCCGACATAATAGAAACTGAACTCTGTCTTTTGGCTATATATTTTGTTCTGCTCTTAAATTGTAAAAATTCTTTTGAACCAATAAAAATATTATTATTATTATGAAACATTTTTTTTGTCACTCGCTTGAAAGAAACGTGGCGAAGACAACAATCTCAAAAGCGGTATGTGGCGTCATGTAAACAAAATATCCGATAAGATATCGGACTAAAATGAATATCTCAAAATAAATTTATTTAATATGTATTTAATTTTTCATGTAGGTAATGAAGCAAACATTACGTTTGTCTCTTCAGCCTTTTTGGATAGCATAAGAATAGTGTTAAAAGATTTTTTTTAACTGGAAATTTTTGATATATCTTGTAATTACTTCGTATATGATTCACAACACAAAACTACAAATTTGCAATTTGATTATATGAAACACCTTAAAAGTATAAAAAAATTATAATAATGATAATAATAAAAAAAGCTTGGTAAAGAACCGAAAAAACAAAATACAGAGAAATATAAGTTCAACAATACCGGAAACCCACGTGGCCTGATAACCATCAAAAACCCATCGAAAGGGCCAGATTTGACGTAAAAGGAACTAAACTGAACTGTCAGTCCCGTCAGAAATGTCACTGGCGTTCATTTGGGGACTGATAATATTTATATTATATTTCGCGGAGAGTGGGCCTGCCGATTGTTTTTTATGCCGTGCCCCTACTTCCTATTTACAAATTTGGGGATTGTAACTGTCACTTGAAGGAAGTTGAAGGCAGGGGTGATATTTTTACGTTGCCGTATCTCATTATCTAAAATTGGTATGTTTCGGGATTCTTTATAAATACCTATGCACAGTAATTGAGCTACTGAATTTATTCGATTTGGCTGTTACACACTATATATATATCCGTTCTATAGTAACTGCACTGAGCATTAATTACATAAATAGTAATACAATTTGACTAAGCCATAGCTAGGTAAATGAACAAAAAAAGTAATTTAAATATCTTAACCCTTAACTGGTGACGTGGTGCCACTGGCGACCCCAGAGAATATCCGAGACCGCATTACTCCTAGACGCATGCGCGAATCTAGACCGCCGCTTCAGTACCATAGATAAATTAATAAATGTTTTATTAATTTATCTATGTTCAGTACCTTCAAGTTGATCAGTTGTGAATGTGATGCTAACAAATTCACGTCGGTTGTCTGCATTATATTCGCAATATAGGTAAGTAAAGCCAACGTGGAGTCTCTCGTGACCCCGTGTCACCAGTTGCGTATTTTTTTTCTGCTAATGTGGGTGGTATCTTTTTCTCAGAATAATGTCGAGTAAACCTAAAGTAGTTCGTATGGAGACTAGAATTTTGAAAATACACTACTAAGGTGGTCCGAGGAAATCGAAAATGAACATGACGCAAATTATAGAGGACCCCGGTGAACATAGTGATTGCTTGGACGAAGAAAGAAACTTAGAAGATATCGTACAGAGTGAAGATACGGCTACTGACACAAGTTACTCTAGCGATGATGATGATGAGCTACCAGAAGAAACTACGGATTCAGAAAATAACCGAGCTTATTATGGGAAAAATAGATTCAAGCGGAACAGAAGCCCACAATATTGTTAGGTTTCTCCCAGGACTAAGGGGACCCATGAGAAATTTGAACAATGCAGATCCATATAGTATTTGGAAGCATTTGTTTAATGATGAAATGATAGAGGAGGTCGTAAATAGGACAAATGAAAAATGGAGCAGAGAACGGACAAAATACAAGAGAGAAAATAAACCTGAAATAAACGACATAGATATAATTGAACTGAAAGCTTTCTTCGGCCTACTTTATTACTCCGGGGCCTTCAAATCAAATCACGAGCACTTAGATGCTATGTTTGCGACGGATGGAACTGGTCGCGACATATTCAGAAACACAATGTCGCTCAAAAGATTTTTGACCATTTTATCTCATTTGAGATTTGACAATGCTGATGGCAGAATCATGAGAGTACTTGGAGACAAAGCTGCAGCGATATCCGGCCTATTTAACTGTGTAGGCCATTATGTGTGTATTGATGAGATGCTGGTAGGTTTCAGGGGCAGATGCCCCTTTCGTATGTATATTCCCAATAAACCGAATAAGTACGAGTTGAAAATTATGATCTTAGCTGACGCACGAACATCATATTTGTATAATGCATACTTACATATTTACTGGAAAAAACAGTGATGGCCGCGGACTTCTTGATGCCGAGAGAAAATTAGCTGTGCCAACGCAATCAGTGTTGCAGTTACGAAAACCAATTTACGGAACTAATAGAAACATTACTGCCGATAATTGGTTTTCATCCTATGAATTGGTTCAATCTCTAAAAACACACATTTTGATATACGTTGGGGCAGTCAGAAAGAACAAGCGAATGATACCTCCAGAGTTTCAACCCAATTTAGCTAGAACAGAAAAGTCTGCTTTATATGGATTTACTGCTGATATGACCTTATTGTCGTACGTTCCAAAAAAACGGAAAGCAACCATCATGATATCGTCTATGCACCACACCGTCAATACTGATCAAGAAATCCAAAGATTATAGCGTTCTATAATTTGACTAAGGGTGGTGGCGTTGATAGTCTAGACCAGCGCTGTTCCAACTACAGCACTAGTAGAAGGACAAGAAGTGGTTCGAACCCTATGTCTACCTCGAGAATTAAGACTCTCTGTTAGCAAAATATAACAGAAACCTCTAACTGAAATTAGAAACGTAGCTGAGGAAGTCAACAATAAAAGAAGACGTTGCGGAAAATGTCCTAAAGGAGCTGATAAAAAGACAAGTACATTGTGTAAATTATGTAATGTAGCAATATGTGCAAATTGCACAGAAAAAATTTGCAAAGATTGCGTTAATAATTAGAATGTTCATATGTTGTGATTTTTTCATTAAATATTTTTTCTGCCATCTTCTTTTTACTTTTTATTAAAGTACGGTGTTCATTTTAATTTTTTGTATGTTTTATATTTCTATGAATTTTTTTTAATTGCTTTTTCAATAAAACGATAACATTTACAAAATACTTATCTTTTTTCTTAGCATAACACTTTAAGCACAAAACAAATTATTGTTTTATAAAATATTAATAAATTTATACTATGTTAACTGACAGATGATAAATAATGAGAAAGTCTCAAAAAATTACGAATTACGTGTTTTTTCTTCTTTTTTGAGAATTTTTTCTTGGGTACTCAGGGCCCCCACGTCACTAGCTACGTAACAAATAAACCGCGTCACCAGTTAAGGGTTAAATAACTCGCATCTCCTTAAAGACGGTCCTGTCGCAACTGGTTCCTCTGAATGTTCGTGATATATTTTATAACAGTTGGCCAACCTGGCCAGACATTTCATGTGTCAAAACTGTCATAGCGTCATTCGTAACGTCAAATTTCATTTACGTCACACGGTCACACAAGTTTATTGACGTTAAAAAGTATTTTCTTCGGTTCATAATTTAAAATAAAATATTTTATGAGATAATAGATATTAATTTTAGTAATAAGAGCAGAATTAAAAATATCGTTGAGTTAGTCAAATTGAAGGTGCTAGTATTCATGACAAATTTAAGTGACGAAATATTTCGTAAACTTTTAACTGTTTTCTCTACAATGACGTGCATTAGTGACGTATTTATGGGATAATTTGAAGGTACTTATTTACAAATATGTCACAAATAGGAAGTTAATTACCGCAAATAAGACAATACTGGAAATTACCAATTTTCAGTGATTAATTTCCACTTTTACGTAACAGTGTTTTACTTTTCAGTCTCCAGTTTGAACCGAAGCTCTCAAAATGCCACCAGCTGAAGAAGTCCGCAGAAGATCTCATTCGGATTACATTTTTGGCAAAGTTCTAGGCGAGGGAAGTTTTAGCACAGTTTATTTAGCAAAAGATGTACATACAAGTAAAGAACATGCAAGTAAGTCAATAAAAACTATGAACAATTTTTTTTTAAAGGGTGCATATCAATGTTTAAAGACAAAATTTTTATAAAGAAGCTACGTGCAACTCCCTAAAGATTACAAGGATTTTTTTACCTATTTTTAAGAATCTAATGAGTATTTTCGTTACAAATACAATCCTGTGTAATTGATTTATTTGAAACCTCACATTATAAATATAAAGACTTACCACTACTTTATTCACAAATAACAATGTTTACAAAACAATAACAATACCTACAATTAAAATAGATACTTACCTACTTCCAGGTACTTTAATAACAAAAAAGTCGAAAGTTTATGATAAAATGAGTTGAGTGCTTTACCAGATACTAAGAATATAATTTATATAGGATAATTATCTATTAGTACAGGTCCCTTCAACAGGATTTTTATAAATATAAGTAGGTATATTTGAGGGTATATTGCAGTTAATTTTGGTCAGATTTTCATAGTATCAATTTTCGAAAATCAATAAAAAGTGTTGTTATGAACAACATCTTTATTTATATTAATGTTTACTGTGCCTTTTCTAAATAAAATAATAAAAATATGAAACTTTGTACCCTTGAAACTCGTTAAAAATATTGTATAATTGGTTTTAACAATTTTGAAGGTTTTATAACCATATCATTTTGAAAAGATACAACAGATAGAATTTGTAAACAGTTTTTTTAAACCTGAAATTTGTCATGTGATAAGCAATCATTTCAAAAATATATTTGGTAAACAAAAACATAGTATATTACTGATACAAAATCTTAATCATTTGAGTGACTGCACAGGTACAAAAATTACAGTTCTTAAAATTGTCATTATGAGCAATGCATTTCAAACATTTTAACTTTTTTTGTCTTTTTCTAAATTCTGTGCAAAATGCTTTTAAAACTGTTTATATAAATAAATATCTTGCAAAAAAATGTGTATCCTTTTGAAAACAAATATAAATTTTATTCAAACAAGTTTCTTGTTTTATATCTTATACTATCCCCCAAATGGTCCAAAGTATTGCTGTTAGGTTACTGTTACCAATCATTTTATTTTACACAAATTGGGAGATAGCCATATTCACAACTCTAGAAAAAGTTAGATTATGTTCCACAGCAATATTTTTGTTTTGCTTCTTTCACAATCCTGGTCCATTTTATTTGGTTTTGTGTTTTCCTCTTTCAATTGATTTACATCTTAGGCACTTTCTGTATATATTTTTTTATTTTTCTGATTTTTGTTTGTTTCTGCATTCCTACATGATAGACCTTTTGAATCAGTTGTTAATTAATGACTTTGATTGGTGTTCAGCAGCACCTATTCATTTATAAAAAATGGCATACAGAAATCTACATTCACTTATAGTCATCCATCTTAAAATTATATTATTTACAATTATTGACACAATCTGTGTTGGATTCTAAAGATGACAGAGCAGCAATCTCTAGATTGCAAATTAAGGGTTATAGTCAGGGCACATTAGTAGACATTAGGCAAACCAGTTAGATTAAACTATAAAATATTATGTTTCAGTTAAGGTGGTGGAAAAAGCCCATGTCATTAGAGAGAAAAAAACTGAATCTGTGATGCGAGAGAAAGAAGTCCTCAGAATTCTTGGGAATTCATGTCCTTATTTTGTCCGTTTATATTGGACATTTCAAGACACTGATCGTTTATATTTCGTTTTGAGCTATGCGAAGAATGGTGATGTACTAGGACAAATTGAAAAACATGGCCGTCTGAGTATAGATTGCACTCGATATTATTTAGCAGAACTGATTTTAGGTACAGTATAGAAATATACAAGCTATTTTTTATAAATAATATATTTAAATTTTAGGATTAGAGCATTTACATAGTAAGAATATCATTCATAGAGATTTAAAACCTGAGAATCTTTTGTTCGATGAAAATTGGCACATTCTCATAACAGATTTTGGTAGCGCAAAGATTTTGACATCTGAAAATGGACATAACAATGAAAGCAGTACTATTGATGTACCCGAGAAGGAGTACCCTTACAAGAGAAGAAACAGCTTTGTTGGTACTGCTCAGTTTGTCAGTCCTGAAATGCTCACAGAAACACATAGTAGTTATGCATCTGATCTTTGGGCTTTGGGGTGTATTGCCTTTCAAATGGCCTCTGGGCATATGCCATTTACAGGTACGTAATTGGTTTCTGTAAAATATAATTTTCTGTTATAGTGTAGACAGTCAGTTGAAATGCCAAAAAAAAAGCCACTTGTGGAGACATATAAGTGTAAATAACATATTCCATAAAGTAGAAAAACGACCTATAAAGTACCCCCAGATGTTACGACTATGCCCAAAATTTAATAAGTTTACTGCAGCATGGATTAAATTTAAAATTTGGTGTTTTTCTCTTTATACGTTTTTAAGTTATTTTCAAAATTCTAAATTTGCACATTTTCTCAAATTTCTCGAATATGGTCCATTTTCGAGAAATTATTTATAAGACAAGAATTGTAGAGAGTGACATCATAAACAATTTTTATTTGAACTATTTTCTTAAAAATTAGAATTTTCCACTTTTTGTTAATTTCTCCGAATACGGACCATTTTTGGAAAATTAGGTATGGTACATCAATTACAGAGAAAAATATTACAAGCAACTTTTTTTTGAAGAATTTTCTTCTCCAAGCGTAAATAACAGATATATTTGGTAAAATAGAAAAATGACCCCTTATAAAGTACCCCCCCCCCCCCAGACGTTCCGACTATACTCAAAATCTAATCAGCTTGGATTAAAGTTTAAAAGTTGGTATTTTTCTCTGTATCCCTTCATGAGTTATTGATTATACACACAGGCGCACACACAGACATAATCGCGAAAATAGTAAAAACGGTTTCAGGGAACCCCAAAATGTAAAAATCTATCGAAAACTCGAGGTCGGAAAAAATCATATTTATACAGACAGGAAAGTAAACACACTATTTCTTATGTAATTATTCCTTTGGCAATTTTAATTAACTGTTATTTCTCTGAAGAAGTCTCTCCAGATTATATTTTCAAACTGATAAGGATATTCTTATATTTAAAAAATGAAATCCAAACTCGTCTGACAACTACAATCCAATATCTATTCCCACTTTCTTTAAAATTATAGTTAGAGATTTATGAGCAAATTCTCTTGCATTACCACTGGTTTGTATTTATTATGAACAGGTTAACAAGTAATATTAACTATTGTCTCCAATCTAAAAGAGGGACAGTTAATTGGAGTAACATTGTGGGATCTCAATAAAGCATTTGATTGTGTCAATCATGGTATCATCATAGAAAGTGCAGTTACTATAGATTCCGAGGTACCTACTGCATTGAAGTCCTTTAAATCCTATTTATATGAGACAAAACAAGCCACATATAGTTTGAGCAGATCTCAAAACTGTACATAGATAAGTTTATTTTAATTTTATTGTATTAATTTAAGTTTAAATCTAATTATTTTATCTAGTTTGATTTATTAAAATTTCGCTTAGTGCCCTGTCCTGACTCGTCGTAAATGAATATGTACAAAACATGATTTAATAAACTTATCTATATTATATCTAAATTTCTATTTCTTCTATAATAATAATAAAAATAGAGCAAAAAAACTTCTACATATCAAATTGGATGAAAGAACTAATGGATGAATAAAAATGTTTTCCTAACTTATCATGGCACTTTGTTATTTTCAACAATGTTTATGTTTCCTGGTAGTAATAATTCCAATCATATTTTTACTAAAAATAGCACCTGCCTACTTAAGTTATGTCAACAAAATAATACTGTTATTTTTTATGATTATTTCAATAAGTGGAATTTGTCTCATTGTTTATTTATACCTGTTTTCCTGAATAGGTAAATTGTTTATTACAAAACAATATTTGTAATGGGTCTAGTGTTTATTACATATTTTTGATGAATTTATTAGAATTTACAGGCATATTTGAGATTTGTTTTGAATTGTGTATGTGTCACAAATAAATGTACTTATTGCCTAAATAAAAATAAAATAAAAGTCATGAAATATCTCAAGTAGCTATGTAGCACTGTTACACAAAAACACTTAATTGATTTTGTTTATGTATTCCCAGTTTTTCCAACTTTAAATTAAATTCTTTTGTGGTAACATCTATGTTATGTTTTTATTTTAATTTTTAGGCGGCAGCGAATATTTGATATTCCAAAAGATCCTCAAGTTGGAATACACTTTTCCAGAAGACTTCCCTAGAGAAATAAAAGCTTTAGTAGAAAAATTAATAGTCCTAGAACCACAAAAAAGACTTGGAACCTCAGATGAAAGAAAGTATTCTAGCATAAGACAACACCCGTTTTTCACCGTGCTCAATTGGGACGACTTGGGTCCCCCTCCCAAAATTTCCGAAGACTGCAATCAGACTCCTAGCCAAGAGATTCCCGACCACTTGGAGCCGGGTCTAGACGAGGAGAAGGCTTCTAGACTGCATTTGGATTTGCTTAGTCCGAGTCCGATTATTACTAGAAAGAAATCGCCGCCTAATAGAAAAATCACAGATTTAACTGATGCTGAAATCCAGGAACGACTGGAAGCTCAGAAAAGTAATATATATCATAGTTTCGTTGAGGATAATTTGATATTGAAACAGGGTTTTATTGATAAGAAGAAGGGTCTGTTTGCGAGAAGGAGAATGTTCCTTTTGACGTTGGGGCCTCACTTGTATTACGTCGATCCCGTTACTATGACTTTGAAAGGGGAGATACCCTGGAGCAGAGATATTAAAACTGAAGCTAAAAATTTTAAGACATTTTTTGTGTATACGGTAAGTTTTGTTTTAATCCATTTTAATTAGGTACTGTTGATTGTAATTTAAGATATTAAAGTTTAGGTTGACCACTTAATCAAAAATCAGAGAATTTTAGTTAAATTAATCAGAAATAAAAGAAGATTTATTTGAAAGTGTCTATTTCCAAAAAATCAAATCGATGAAGTTGAATATTTTATATTGTAAAAGAGTAATTGTTGGAATCTTTAGTACACAGAGTGCTGAAATATGTAGATTATAAAACATTAATATTTCTGTGATCAGAATTGTTTTGATGTATTGAGTTTTGGTAATTGCAGGAGAGCATACTGAAAAGGTTATGGCTAAGATGCTGGTATGTCATGATCCCTAAGAAAGATTATAATGCTTTACCATTCAGGTCTTGCCTTTAGATTTTCGTTATTGTGACTTTTTGGGACTTCCTGGGGCGTGCAAGCACTGACTACAAAGGATGTGGACTGTATTTAAGGATTGGTATTTAAATGTTCCGGGAGGTGTGACTGAGTCAGTACTGAATAACAATTTTTTTCACGAGCATGTGTGTGGTTTACTGTGCTTTGAATGATACTATTCAATTTTGCTGTTCAACAACAAATCGTTCTTAAGGCAGCACCCTTTTGGCGAAATATTACCTTTCATACTAGATGATAGTAATTACTTTAAATTTAAATATATTAAACAAGTGAAGACTTAAAATATACAATATCGAGTTATTGCTTCATATGTAATGTAAACTTCTGACATCAGGTTTGAGCATGCCTTGTATCTCTACAGAAACGGTCCTCTTCAAACAGTGGGCGTATGGGGTAGGTAGACCCATTCTTTTTATTTTTTAAATATTTATGCACCCATTATGACAAAATAACCAAAATCGAAAAAAAAAAATATATGTTTTACTTTCCTCCTACATATAGGGGGATAGAGTGACAACCTTCTAGAAGTAAAATGGTCTACCAATGAATATCCATTCGGTTTCATACCATTTATGATTTGTTTTTTCTTTTAAATTCGACCGGCAACTTTTTCGGGAGGTAGGGGGAGAGTAACGGACATCGGATTGCGCCATATATTTTCGTCCTCAAAAAAATAATGTGAGAACTCTCGTATTGGAACTGGGTAATGGAGGGTAAGGGGGAGTCGTGAAATTCTCCAGACTTTTCGGGGTGCGACTTTTTTGGGTCTATATTCAGAAAAAAAAACTTTTTTTATTGCGTTTGGGAAGAGGTGGTAGTGGGGGGCCTCCTGAAAATAATTTTCTTATGATTCTTGGTTCTATATATGGGCTCCCTAGTGGGGGGCCTCCTGAAAATAATTTTCTTACGATTTTTGATTCTATATATAGGCTCCCTCTGGCCAAGGTGAGTGTGGGGATTGGGTGATTTGAAATTATTTCAGACGATGCCTATGGCCGCGTTATTAGTTTGTTGCTTTCCCTTACCATTTCGGCGTGACGGTAGAAGAGGAGGTGAGGTAAAAGTGGCGATCAAGTTATTTTTTGTGATCCTCTATCCGTCCATGTAATATATTTCATATCGGTCCCAATATAAGCCCAGCTCATGTTCATGTTGTAGATCTCACAGAGACAAACACAGTGATGCTAATAACTCAATTTCGGTAAAGCGTCGACACATCAAGTTATTGCTTCTTACCGCAGAGTTAGATTGTCCTAGAATAGACAAAAATGTAATTTTGAAAAATACTGATAATTTAATGAGTACATTTTCTAAATCTATGTTAAATTATGCCTAGTTGGCATAGGTCATCTAGAAAATCTGAGGCCATCATTGGCCCCAAATGACCTAGTAACAGTCTCGATATTCTAGTTGGAAACTGTGTACTCAATAACTTACATTTCTATGTAAAGAGGGGTGCAAAAAAAAATTATTAGATCTACAACTGCTTATACGACCATTTTCACAAGAACAAACAACACCATGATTGAAGAACTCTTTAACCTGGAACCCCACAAAACAAGACAAAAGAACTACTCTAAATCTCAGACGACCATACTCAATGGGGTTTGTTCAATACTTCACATACCAATGAATAATTTTTAACACCGTAGAACTTATTTCAAATAAAACTAAGTAGTATTTATTAAAATATGATTTATGAAAGTTGACTTATTGGATTAAACTATTCCCAAACCACATAAAAAAGCTGCTGACCATTTACAAACATAGCAAAAAAAGTCTGGCACCAGATATTTTATCTAAAATGTATAATTATGATATTGTAGGAAGATGAATGGGACTGTATTACATTAGTAATGTGGTAGTTTTTTAGTATTTTTGAAAAGAAGAAAAAATAAGCTTTTTTTCTAATATATCACTCAACCCAATTCATGATGGGGGCGGCACGCTAAACGCTGACATCACATAAATTTGACATGCCCTTTAAAAAATGAAGAATTCAATCCCATTCATCATTCTACAATTTCATAATTATGAATTCATTCATTTGAAAGAAAATACCTTGTTGCCAGGCTTTCACTACCCTATATGCATAACACAATGAAACATGTGTTACTGACGATACAGTGAAATACATTTTAAATTGAATTAGTAAATCCTTATACAGTCTGCGTATAGTACTTTATATGAGTAGTTCAGTTGTTTAGATTAGACAGAATACTATTCAGAATAGAAGAAATGTACAAAAAAAAACAGAGTACACAAAGAATTAGTGGGGTCAAGCCTAACATATGGAAGGGAAACATGATCCTAATAACAAACCAAAAAAAAGTGATGCCAACTGAAATGAATCATTTAAGAAAATCACAGGGAAAACAAGAGATAGAGCAGAAATGAAGAAATCAGAGACAGCACTAATCAAATAATAGATGAAAAGCAACTGATATGATTTGGCTATGTACAAAAAGTGGCACCAGAGATAATAACAAATGGTAACAGAAGTAAAAAGGTATGGTAAGTGAAAAACTGAAAGACCGAGAAAGAATTTGGAATATATAATAAATGAAAAAAAAAAAAAACAAAAAAGGGAAAAAACAGTATAAGAACTAAAACAAAAAGTACAATATAGAAAGAATGAAAAATAAAAGTTCAGAATCCAATTCCCCAAAACTGTAAAGACATACGGCAAAAAATAAAGTAGATTAAATGGGCTTCATCTTGCATACATTCGTTCACGTGTTATTTTGTGATGTCAAATTGGAGTCTCGTTGGTGGTAAATTTTCATGTGTATATTTTAGTGTTTTTTTGTTTAGCAATTTGCTGACATTGATCTGATTAATACTGCCCTTTTAAACGTAAAAGTCGTATCTGACAATACCACTAATAATGTTAAATATTTCAGAATCGTCAATTCTGTTTAAAAGTACAGTGGAGTTTGTAGAAATAACAATTATTTTTTGATTATAAAATATATTTTTCTGCTGTGCTATAGTCGAAAGTTTACAAAGAAGATATTACCTTTAATTTATCCAAAAATTAAATTAGATTGTTTTGGTATAAATGTGATATTGTTGTGTTAGTATCACTTATGAAATTTTGATATATTTTGTTATTCTACTGAAATTGTAAAAATGGAGTTTCCGTATAAATAAATAAATAAAAATGCAGATACGACTTCTATGTTTAGAAGTGTAGAGTATGATTCTGGAGAAAATGCTTGACAAGCATATTTTTACAGCTTCATGACTCTGTTTATAGCAACTGAACCTATACATATGAGTTCAATTATAAAACGTATTAATAATATGGGACGCCATTTAGAACAATTAAAGTGGCATTATGTTTTATTTTCGTTAAAAATATACTAAAATAGACATACTTTATGACGTTTTCGTATTTTTGCCTTACTACAGATTAGTTTTTTATGAAGTTGGGTAATTATGTTTATTTAAAAAATAGTTCTCATTCATTTTGTAACGAAGCGGCAACAGCACAAACGTTTAGGTTGGTTTGACAAGCGAAAAATGAACAAATTATTAAATTTTGGAATGTATGCTAAAATTGGTGCCATTCGTTTTTGGACATACACCCCTGTCACTCCTAATATCTGCATGTATTTAAATATTAACCCGTTTTATTTTTTCAGTAATTTATAACCAATGTTCAGTTAAACTAACAATAATTTTTTTACAGCCTAATAGAAAATACTATTTAGAAGATCCTGAAGGGTATGCCTTGGAATGGTGCAAAGCAATAGACGACTTGAAGAACTATTACTATCCAGATGAGACTTGATATAAATTAATTTTAGTGTAAATTTGCCCTTTTTTGTATTTCCACTATTTATTACTAAATTATTTCGCAAATCTAAGTTAATAGTTGAATTGTTATATTTTTGTCCCCTTTAATATATATATTGTGTATAAATTATTCTATATTATTATTAGAATACTATTTAATCTATTTATTTATCGTATAGCAAATTTCGAAAACAGTTTTGAAATAAAATTTATTTACAATTTCTTTGTTTTACTTAAGAACATTTTTACAATTTACACCAGAAGAGGGCTTTGCTGAAACAAAATGGCATTTTACCTAATTGCTTATTTAAACGATTTATTTCTAAATATATTTGTACATTAATAAAATTTAACTGCTAAATTGAATCAAAAAACGTTTTTCATTTATATTAAACTACATTGTCCAAGTTTTGGAATAAAAACTCAACCATTTAATAAGAATATACAGGGTGTTAAAAAAAAGTGTCAAAATGAAATGGTGAATAGTATGACCCAAAATAAGCAGAAAAGTCTTAATAAATATATGACCGCAAATTAACGGTTTCGGAGATACGGACCATTTTGTGTTTATAACAATTTTTTATTATAAAAAAACAATGATATTTATAAACAATCAATGACAACATAGAATTAAATGAGATGTTCAAATACTGACGTAGCGCTTCCCTCGCATTGCCATTTGCACGACCGTACATAAAATGCATGTCAGCTAATTCAATATTAGTGTAAACAGGCATAACGAAAATTTATAAAATTATTCACCCACAACAAAATAATAACTGCAAATAGTATCTATGAAAAAACATCGGTAAAAAGATAATCAAAAAATGATACAAAACACTCCGTATCTCTGAAACCATGCATTTGCGGACATATGTTTATTAAGACTTTTCTGCATATTTTGGCCCATACTACCCCCCGTTATATTTTGTGACACTTTTTTTTAACACCCTGTATATTACTCTCCTAGTATAACAGTCTCTTTTGTTGTTATTTTTGTCTAAAGAAGTGAAATACATACTGGGTCAAATAGAAATAACTATATTTTCCCATTAGATATATTTAAACTGTTAAAGAAGTCAAAAATATGACCATCAAATAATATGCCAAAATTTATTGGTAAGTATAACCAGTAATTTTTCATTGATAAATAATTTCTTGGAGATCGATACGAACTGGTGAGGTAACCTATAAATGGTTGTAGATTCTAGAGGAACTCCTATTCATTACAAAACAAATTAGCTATCCTATTCAGAAAAATTCTGGATACGGACCTGAACATTTTAAACTAAAATAGTCATATTGTCACTTTTTTAAATTTAGTAGTAGTCATTTATCTTCACAAAATATACAATTTAATTTATTGAAAACCTAATTTAATCAGGTACTTATATTTATAAAAAAGAATATTAAACATTTTAAAATTGGTTCATTCAACCAGGAACACCAACCTTTTCGTCTATTATAATTAAATTTACCAGATAATTAGAATGGTTGGCAGTACTGGTCACCAACTAACATGGCGCATGTTGGTTAGTTATTGTGACATTAGTATGCCCAAATGGTAGTTTTGGCTAAAATAATTTATTATTTTGAAAGATAACGCATGTGATTTTAAACGCGAGTGACTTTATTTGGTTTAAACATCAGATGGTAGCGAGATCTTGAAGGTAAGGTTATTTTTTTTATCTAGAAATATCCACCCACTCTTTCTACCTGCCTCATGAAACTTTAATTAAAAATCTAAATTAATTGTAACGGGTTTTTTGATACTTTATTTATAGAAATTGGATACTGGAAGCACAAAAAATTATCTATTTAAGTCTGCTGTCTTGGATTCTTCCACTGTCATTTATGATTATAAACTGTTTGTTGACAATTGGAACCAGTATACAAGTGTATTATTTATTCTTTTTATGTTGCGAAACCGGCTTTGAAATTCTTTTTTGTTGCACATATTATCGATACTTGATGAAGTTTATTTGTAAATAAATACGGCTGTTTTGTTTTTTGGGAAATGTAAGCAGTAGCTAAATAGATTCTACACATTTTTTAATGTCTAGTAACAACTGGTAACATGAATATTATGAAAATAATTTTAAAATGCAGAGTTGTAACACATTCTTTTTGAGAAATGAAATTCCTTTTGAAAGGTTGATTCAATTAGTTTGCATTTGCAGTTATTCCCTACATCTCCTTCTTTATTTAAGGTAAAGATTAAAATAATCCAATAACCAATAACCGAGGGGTCATCCACTAGTTGCATTACTGGTACAAATTCATTTGCATTACGCTGCAGTACTCTGTATTACGCTGCAGTCCTTTGCATTATGCTGCATTACCCTGAATTACCCTGCAGTATTCTCGCATTACTCTGAATTACGCTGAATTACTTTCGCATTACTCTGCATTACTTTCGCATTACTCTGCATTACACTGAATTACTTTGCATTAACTCATTTTTTTATGGAAGGGATGTAAAAACATCCTGGTTCTAGAAGCTATCGCGTAAGTAAGTACAAGTTATCTGTGTTCAATAAGAGTGTAAAAGAGAAGGTAAGTAATATTTTAAATGTTTTTTTATAATGTAAGTGGAAAATGAGACAAAATTAAAAATATCCATGTTCAGATAATATGAAAAGTATAATATTAAATTAAGGTATTAAATTTGCATAACTTGTGGCATTTTCAGGGTATATTACCGAATCACGTGTAGCATTATAACTAAATTCTCTTGTTAGCTCCGCTGGCTAATTAGTTAATTATAATTATTTGTATATGTATGGAATGTAATATTACTTTTTAAATAAATACAGGATCAATATATAAAAAATAGCCTATCTAGCAAGTCTCTTGATAAAGGTGTGATGAAGTTATCATGATGGTTTTTAAGAGAATAAAGTAAATTAAAAATAAAATAAAAAAATGTCTTTGTTTTAGATTTTGACCTTAGACATATTATCTTCTAAATGGTGTTCAAAAATATACTGATGGTAATTTTACCTACTATCTGTTTTTAATTTTTTGAGAAAATATTCCCTCGATAATTCCAAAACTTTCCAGTGCTAAAAGCACTTTTCATTTAAATTTTCAATAATTTATGTAACAAAAAAATTGGTAAATTAAAATTTACCATCATTCTGGTATCATTCTTCATCACTCCTTATAAGATATGCATTTTTGAATCACTTATGAGGAACTGTTTTTTTCCATCATTTTATTCTCTATCTCCCTATTCTGAAATAAACTGTAGATTTGCCTATATCTTATATTTTAACTCTTGTAGGTGACAAATTTGTCTTTCCAAGAGAGGAAAATAAAAGATTTGGAAACAACTCAACTTCTTGTGAAAATGAAATCCCTTCCACAGAGACAATAAGGGGAATTCTTGAAGAAGCTAAAGCTAATGCTGTAAAAGATTTAAAAAAATTAGGCATGTCACTTAGTTCTCAAGGAGAAATAGAAGCTCTTGAAGAAGTTTCAATAATAAAGACTGATATATTTGAAAATGAGAACACCATAACTGAGGAAATCAACAGCGGCAATGAAGGAAGAAATTGTGCAAGTGAAGATGAGCAAGAATTGGTTGAGGACCTTAAAAATTTCAAAAACATAAAAAAAAGTAATATTAAAGATTTTTCAAGTAACAAATCAAAAAATACTGATTCGTTTCTAAAAGTAAAGGTGGAAAATAAAATTTTAACTGTGAAAAAAAGTACCTTATGTTGGATGTTTTCCGATACTTCTGGGCGACTATCAAGTGATAGGTTATCAAGATTTAAAAGTACAGATAAATCTAAAACAAAGGATATAAATATAACTAAAAATCAGGGCAAAGACAGTGATAGTGAAACTTCTGACAGTTCTATTAGTTGCATTCTTGAAAGTGATACAGAAAGCGAGTCATTTGAATCAGGCAATGAAAAAGCCTTAGATATAAGTATCAAAAAAGAATATTATTATGCCGTCTATTATGATAACAATTGGTATATAGGCCGAGTTTTGGATTCGGTTGAAGAAAACAGAATATTTAAAATAAAATTTCTTAAAATGGAACTAGATACCTTCTTATGGCCTAAAGAAGAAGATATCCAAAATGTTGAACAACAATTTATATTTTATGGGCCTCTTAAACTTTTAAATAATGGACCCTTTTGTATTAAAAGAGCCGATAAATGCGCCATAGAAAAAAAATACAAAGTATTGAAGAAACAGTTTTCATTAAAGTAGTTTATATTAAAAAAACTTAAAAAATCTAAATAAAAAACTTCTTTGTTTTATTTGTGGGGTGAATTTAAAAAGATACCAAAAATATATTCAAGGGTCATACAAAAATTATCTAAAACAGAATTAAATAATGTTACCATTAGTACTCTCCCCACTCATAATACCTTCTCCACCAAAAGTTTTTTAACGGAGTTGTTAAATTTCCTCAGGGTAGAATAGATATTTTCTTAGTTAGGAGATCTTATAACTTTCATAAAGAATTTAATTTTCATGAAGAAGCACAAATGCTACATTTATGAATTAAATTATTATTAATTAATTGTGAAATAACAAATTTTGTACAACCAATATCATGTATACAATTTAAAATAGGCATATTATATTTTTTTCCATACTTGATGTCATGACTAACATACTTGACAATACCCTCCCTGTTGTGTGCATATGATTAATGCAGCATTAAAATGCCACATTTTGATTAATTCTGTTGTTTCTTTTTAGTTAACCCTGTATAATTAAATCAAGATTTAAACATATTTAACCTAAACTATTTTTGTTCTTAGACTTGCATCAGAAACCAGACCCAATCAGTTTCACAAAGCTGAACAAAACTCAATACTATGGCTAACATACTTTTGGAGCAAATCTTGCATTACAAAACATTACTCTGAATTACACTGCATTACTCTGAATTACGTGGTATTACTTTGAATTACATTGCATTAAAATCAACTACGCCACATTATCCTACATTACATTGTATTACGTCGAATTATTCTGCATTACATTGAATTACCTTGCATGATGTTCATGTGGTGCAAAAATGGATTTTGCGTATTATCTATAACAAAGATATTCAATATTCTAGTAACTCCTTGTACAAGGAATTAAAAGTTTTTGATTTAAGACAATTATATTTTTTTAAAATTCTTCAATTTATAAAAACAAAAAAAATTTTTTTGACATCACATGAACATCAGTATAATAC